GCCACTGAACTCGAGCTTGGGCAACGGAGCAAGACCTCATCTCAAAACAAACAAACAAACAAACAAACAAACAAAAACATGGCCAGGTGCAGTGGTTCACTCCTGTAATCCCAGCAGTTTGGGAGGCTGAGGCAGGTGGATCACCTGACATCAGGTGTTCGAGACCAGCCTGGCTAACATGGTGAAACCTTGTCTCTACTAAAAATAGAAAAATTAGCTGCACATGGTGGCAGATCCTGTAATCCCAGCTACTCGGGAGGCTGAGGCAGGAAAATGGCTTGAACCTGGGAGGTGGAGGTTGCAGTCAGCCAAGGTTGCAACATTGCACTCCAGCCTGGGTGATAAGAGCAAAACTCCATCTGAAAAACAAGCAAACAAACACCCCAAAACAAAAAACAAAACCTAAAAAAAACTGAACTAGATTGCTTTTAAATTAAGAAGCTCATTGTAGATACCATAAGAAAAGAACTAAAAAATATAATAAGAAAAGAATAATATAGGGCTAGGTACTTCACTCACACCTGTAATCCAGCAATTTGGGAGGCTGAGTAGGAGGATCGCTTAAGCCCAGGAATTCGAGGCCAGCCTGGACAATACAGTGAAAGCCTGTATTGAAAAGAAATTTTTTTAAATTAGCTGGGCATGGTAGCATGTGCCTGTGGTCCCGGCTACTCAGGAGGCTGACGTGGGAGGTTGAGGTTGTAGTGAGCTGTGTGGTCGCACCACTGCACTCCAGCCTGGGTGACAGGGTGAGACCCTGTCTCAAAAAGAAGAAAAATGAAAAGTGTAATATAATAGGTCAGGTGCAGTGGCTCACGCCTGTAATCCCAGCACTCTGGGAGGCTGAGGTGGGTGGATCACCTGAAGTCAGGAGTTTGAAACCAACCTGGCCAATGTGGCAAAACCCTGTCTCTACTGAAAATACAAAAATTAGCCGGGTATGGTGGCATGCACCTGTAGTCCCAGCTTCTTGGGAGGCTGAGGCAGAAGAATCGCTTGAACCTGGGATATGGAGGCTGCAGTGAGCGAAGATCACACCACTGCACTCTAGCGTAGGTGACAGAGCGAGACTCCATCTAAAAAAAAAAAGTACAGTATAATAATACATATAAAGAAACAATGGAATTTAAATGTTACACTGCAAAACATCTAACATAAAAGAAGCAGGAATACTGAGAGTCAGAGGATGAGGAAAAAAAGAAAAAATTGAAAATATATAGAAAACAAAGAACAAAATGACAGGCATAAATCCTACCTTACATTAAAAGGAAATGGTTTAAATGACAGAGATTGACAGAATAAAAAACATAATCTAACTATACATGATGATAACAATAAACACAGTTCTGATTTAAAGACACAAATATATTCCAAGTAAAAGAATATAAAAAGATATGGCGTGCAAGCAGTAACCAAAAGAAAGCTGGTTTGTTATACTAATATCAGAAATAATCTCTCCTCTAGCCATCCAAAATGCCAAAAGGAATGAAGGCTAAGTGGAAGAAGATAGCCCCCTCTCCTGCTATTGTGAAGAAGCAGGAGGCCAAGAAGGTGATGAATCCTGTTTGAGAAAAGGCCTAAGAATTTTAGCACTGGACAGGACATCCAGCCCTAAAGGGACCTCACCCACTTTGTCAAACAGCCCTGCTTTATCAAGTTGCAGCGGCAAGAAGCTATCTATCTTCTGTAAGTGGCTGAAAGTGCCTCCTGCAAATAACCCAGGCCTTGGACTGCCAAATAGCTACACAACTGCTTAAGCTGGCCTGTAAGTACAGACCAGAGACAACGCAAGAGAAGAAGCAGAGATCATTGGCCCAGACTGAGAAGAAAGTTGCCAGAAGGATGTCTCCATTAAGAGGCCTTCGAGCAGGGGTTAACACTGTTACCACCTTGGTGGAGAACAAGAAAGCTCAGCTGATGATGACTGCACATGACATGGATCTCATAGAGCTCCAGCTGTCTTCCTGCCTACGCTGCATCATAAAATACAAAGAGAAGAGAAGACTGGGATGCCTAGCCCACAGGAAGACTTGTGGGCTGTCATCTCCATACAGGTTAACTTGGCAGACAAAGGAGCTTTGGCTAAGCTGGTGGAAGCTATCAGAACCAATGACAATGACAGACAGGATGAGATCCACTGTCACTTGGGAGGCAATATCCTGGGTCCAAAATCTCTGGTTCACATTGCCAAGCTGGAAAAGGCAAAGGTTTAAGAATTTGCCATTAAGGTGGGTTAAATGTAGACTGTTGAGTTTTCTGGAGAAATATTAATAATTCTCCTTCAGCCAAAGAAAAAGAAATATAAATTAATATCAAGAAGACATGACAATTATAAACACATTTGCAACTAACAACTGAGTTCCAAAATACACAAAGCAAAATTGACAGAACTGAAGGGAGAAATTCAACAATGGTCAGAGACTTCTATAACCCACTTTTAATAAGTGATAGAACTAGGCAGATGATCAACAGAGAAACAGAAAACTTGAACAGCCCTGTAAACCAATAAGGCCTAACAGACATATAGGGAACATTCCACCCAACAACAGCAGAATACACACTTTTCTTAAGCATACATGAGTTCAAGACGAGCCTGGGCAACATAGGGAGACCTTGTTTCTAAAACAAATAAAAAACAATAGCAAGTGGCATGTGCCTGTAGTTCCAGCTACTTGGGAGGCAGAGGCAGAAGGATCACCTGAGTAAGACCAGGGGGTCGAGGCTTCAGTGAACCATGATCACACCACTACACTCAACCCTGTACAACAGAGTGAGACCTTATTTCAAAATAATAATAATAATAATAAAGTGTAAGACTTGTACACTAAAAACTAAAAATGATTGTTAAAAGAGATTTAAAGACAACCTGGCTGGGCGTGGTGGCTCATGCCTGTAATCCCAGCACGCTGGGAGGATGAGGCGGGTGGATCACATGAGGCCAGTAGTTCAAGACCAGACTTGCCAACATGGCAAAACTCTGTCTCTACTAAGAATATAAAAATTAGCCAGGCATGGTGGTACATGACCAGTTACTCAGGATACTAATGTTATGGAACATCTTTTCATGTATTTATCAGTCATTCATATATCATCTTTAGAAAAATGTCTATTTGAATCTTTTGCCTTTTTTTTTTTTTTTTTTTTGAAACAGAGTTTCACTCTTTGTTACCCAGGCTGGAGTGCAATTGCACAATCTCGCCTCACTGCAACCTTCGCCTCCTGGGTTCAGGCAATTCTCCTGCCTCAGCCTCCTGAGGAGCTGGGATTACAGGCACGCGCCACCATGCTCGGCTAATTTTTGTATTTTTAGTAGAGACAGGGTTTCACCATGTTGACCAAGATGGTCTCGATCTCTTGACCTCGTGATCCACCCACCTCAGCCTCTCAAAGTGCTGGGATTACAGGCGTGAGCCACCGCGCCCGGCTCTTTTGCCCATTTTAAAATTGGATTTTTAAATCTTTTATTGTTGAGTTGTTGAACTGTCATGCCCTGCTGGTAGGACTGTAAAACAGTGCAGCTACTTTGGAAAAAAGGCCAGTAATTCCTCAAAAGATTAAACATAGCGTTCCCATGTCATTCAGCAATTCCACCCCTACATAGCTATCCAACAGAAATGAAAACATATGTCCACATACAAACTTAAACACAACTCTTCATAGCAGCATTATTTGTAATAGCAAAAAACTAGACTAACAACACAAATGTCCAACCACTGATGAATAAATGGAGTATTATTTGGCAATAAAAATAAATGAAGTACCAATACGTGCTGCAACATGGTTAAACTGTAAATACTATGCTAAGTGAAAAAAGTTACAAAAGACCACATAATGTGTGACTTCATTTACATAAATTGTCCAGATTAGGCAAATATTTTATTTTATTTTATTTATTTTATTGAGACAGAGTCTTGCTCTGTTGCCCAGGCTGTAGTACAGTGGCATGATCTTGGCTTACTGCAACCTTCGCCTTCCAGGTTCAAGCAATTCTCCTGCCTCCACCTCCCTAGTAGCTGGGATTACAGGCACATGCCACCATGCCCGACTAATTTTTATATTTTTAGTAGAGACAGCATTTTGCCATGTTGGCAAGGCTGCTTTTGAACTCCTGACCTCAGGGGCTCTGCCTGCCTTGGCCTCCGACAGTGCTGGGATTACAGGTATGAGCCACTGCACCCGGCCATTTTTAAATTTTTTTGAGACAGGTCTTGCTCTATTGCCCAGGCTGGAGTGTATGGCATGAACAGGGCTCACTGCAGCCTCAATCTTCTAGGCTCAAGCAATCCTCCTGTCTCAGCCTCCTGAGTAGCTAGGACTACTGGTGTGCACCCCCATGCCTGGCTAATTTTTTTTTTAATAGAGATGGGGGTCTCACTTTGTTGCCCAAGCTGGTCTCAAACTCCTGGGCTCAAGCAATCCTCCTGCCTGGGCCTCCCAAAAAATAGTAGGCAAATCTATAGAGACAAAAAATACTTTAATAATTGTTAAGGCTGGAAGATGGGGGAAGTGGGAATAAATGGGGACACCACTACTCATGGAAATGGGGTTTCTTTTTGAGGTGATGAAAGTATTCTAATGGATAAAAATACATTTTAATGTTATACAGCAATAAAAAATGAAGTACTGATATATGTTATAAAATGTTTGACTCCCAAAAATATTATAAGTAAAAGAAGCCAGTCACGAAACCACATATTGTGTAACTGTATTGATACGAAATGTTTCAGCATAGGCAAATCTGTAGAAACAGAAAACAGATTTGTGGTTGCCTGGAGCCTGTGGTTGGGCGTTTGGGTGGAGGAGTTACAATGAGGGCTGACTATGAAAATGTACATTTTTTTTGTGGAATGTTGAAAATATTCCAAAATCAAATTCTGGTAATAGCTGCACAAGTCTGTAAATTGTGTAAGTTAAATGAGTGAATGTTATGATATGTGAAATATAACTCAATAAAACTATAATAAAAAAATTAAAAGTAAAGAAGCAAAAGAAATCCTTACTTTCCAAGTCATTTATAAGGCAGCTTTCCCCTGATACCAAACCAGAAAAAGATAATATCAAAAATTTTAAAATATAAAACAAAAGGATGAAAACTGTAACCCAACAGACTTCTTGAACTTAATACAGGGCATCTACAAAAAACTTACAGTTAACATTATAATTTATGGTAAAAGATAGAAGGCTTTCCCCTTGGAAGAATAAGAAGAAGGTAAGGATGTCCAATACACAGTTTCAGCTAGTACAAGAAGAAGAAGAAATAAAAGGCATAAAGGTTGAAAAGGGAGCAACAAAAAAGTCTATATTCACAGATGACATAACTGCCTACTCATAAAATCCCAAAGAATCTATAAGAAAACTTCTAGATTAAATAAGTTTAGCAAAATCTTCAGCTATAAGGTCAATATACAAAAATTAATCATATTTCTCAAGCAATGTATGATTGGAAACCCTGTAGAAATAAAATAAATCCTTAGGTATAAATAAAACAAAATACATATAGTAAGCTGAAAACTATAAAAATTAGATAAAACATATTTAAGAAGACCTGGAGAAATAAACTGTATACCAAACCCCCATGATATGCACTTTACCTATATCACAAACCTGTACATGTACCCCTGAGCCTAAAATAAACATTAAAAAAAAAAAGACAAAAAAATGGAGAGCCATCCTATGTTTATTGATTGGAAGACTCAATACAGTAAAAAGATCAACTCTCCCCAAATTGATATATAGATTTAACGTAATTCCAATCAAAATCACAGCAGGATTTGTTTAGATATAGTCAAGCTGATTCTAAAATCTGTATGAAAAGGAAGAGGAAGCAGAGTAGCTAAAACAATTTTGAAAAAAGAATAAAGTTGCAGGAAACATAATACCTAATTTAAACAATACTAATTTTAAAAGCTGCTATAAAACTACAATAATCAAAATACTGTAGTATTGGTGAAAGGACAGACATATGGATTAATTAGAACAGAATAAAGAGTCCAGAAATAGATTCACACATATATGGCTAATTGACTTTTCACAAAGGTACAAAAGCTATTCAATGGAGAAAGGACGATCTCTTCAACAAATGGTAATAATCGAATAACCATATGCAAAAAAGAACCTCACCCAAAACCTCACACCTTATACAAAAAGTAATTTAAAATGTGTCATAAATCTAACTGTAAACATAAAACTATAAAACTTTTAGGAGAAAACATAGAGGAAAATTTTTGTGGCCTGTGTTTAGCCAGAGTTCTTAAATATTACACCAAAATCATAATTTTTAAAATTTGATAAAGTATATTTTATTAAAATGATAAACTTTTGCTCTGCCAATACACTGTTAAGAGAATGAAAAGACAAGCTACAGACCCGAAGAATATATTCGTAAATCACAGATCCTACAAAGAATTTTTATCAAAAATATAGAAAAACTCTCAAAAATCAACCACATGTAAACAACCTAATTTTCTAAAATGACAAAAATTATTGTCTTTGGGATAAATTGAGTAAAGGGTACACAGGATCCCTCTGTATTATTTAACTGCCTGTAAACTGACAATTATCTCAATGAAAATTTCATTTAAAAATAAAACAAGATACAAAAAAAAAAAAAGCAAAAGACTTGAACAAACACTTCACCACAGAGAATATACGGATCACAAATAAGCACAAGAAAAAAATGCTCAACATCACTAACCATTAGGGGAATGAAAATTATAAGAAAATAACCACATTATATCATTATATACCTATTAGACTGGCTAAAAAAAGAATACTAGTTATCAAGTGCTGAAGAGCATGCAGAGAAACTAGAAGTGTCACAATTGCTGATGGAATGTAAAATGATACAGCTGCTTGAAAAAATGGTTTGTTAGTTTTTAAAATATGTTAAATACGCATACCATATGACGCAGCAATCTCATTTCTGGGTATTTTATCCAAGCGATCTGAAAACTTATGTTCACCCACAAAGCTGTATGTGACTATTTATGGGAGTGTTATTTGTAAAACCCCAAACTGGAAACAACCCAAATGTCCTCCAACAGGAGAATGGATAAACAAACAGTGGTACATACATGATAACACAAAATAAGCTGAGGAATCCCAAAGACAGTCTTGAGAGACATGTTTCTACCATGAGATCATATTTCTCTGGCCATGGTTATTTAGAAACAGGTGGACATCTGACTGCAGAACAGTCCAAATAAAGGCCAGGCAATGGGCTCTGACCCATTTTTTGGCATGAAAAAGATGAGCAGGGACAGTCAAATTATCTGTCCCTGGAATCTGACAAAGGTCAGTTTAATAAAGATCTGAAAGTGAAAGAATGCTTTGGGATCATGAGAAACCAAAGTTATCTAAAAGCCAGTTTTGGGAAAGCACAAACTATGCATAAAAAGAAGCCATTAGGGAATGAAACAGAAGTACAGCTATTAGTGGTACTGCATCAGACTGAAGGTTTGTGTACTTCTGCTATTAAATCCCGAGAGCTGCCTTCAATCTAGGTCTAGTTCTGTCTTTACAAGATCATCCAAGTACAGTTCCCGTTCTTGAGTTCTGTATTAGTTGTCTATTGTTGTTGTAACTAATTACCACAAACTTAGTGGCTTCAAACAACACAAATTGATCTCACAGTTCTCTAGGTTACAAGTCCAACACGGGTCTCACTGGCCTAAAATCAAGATGTTGCCAGGGCTGTGTTCCTTCTGAAGGCTATAGGAGAGATCACATATGTCCTTACAATGCATCTTTAACCCCCACCTTGACTATGCACATATAACCAAAGAGGCCTGACCTGATTAACAACTTCTTTATTAGTTAAGATTGATGCTCTTTTTTTTCAAAGTTAAAGAAGTATATTTTATTAATATTTTTATAACTAATAAAAATTGGCCAGGTGTGGTAGCACAGGCCTGTAATCCCAGTACTTTGGGAGGCCGAGGTGGGTGGCTCATGAGGGTCAGGAGTTCAAGACCAATCTGGCCAACATGGTAAAACCCCAACTCCACGAAAAATAGAAAATCTGCTGCGTGTGGTGGCGGGCACCTATAATCCCAGCTACCTGGGAAGCTGAGGCAGGAGAATAGCTTGAACCCAGGAGGTGGAGGTTGCAGTGAGCCGAGATCATGCCATTGCATTCCAGCCTGGGTGACAAGAGCAAGACTCCATCTCAAAAAATAAATACAAGTGATTCTCCTGCCTCAGCCTCCCAAGTAGTTGGGAATATAGGCATGCACCACCATCCCCAGCTAATTGTGTAATTTTGGTAGAGACGGGGTTTCACCATGTTGGTCAAGCTAGTCTCAAACTCCTGACCTCAGGTGATCCACCCGCCTTGGCCTCTCAAAGTGCTGGGATTACAGCCATGAGACACCATGCCCGGCAGGATCATGTGTAAGAGACAGAGAGAGAGAGAGAGAGAGAGAGAGAGAGAGAGAGAATGTGTGGTGTGTGTGTATGTGTGTGTGTGTGTGTGTGTATATATATATATATATATATATATATATATATATATATATTTTTTTTTTTTTTTTTTTGGAGACAGAGTTTTGCTCTTGTCACCCAGGCTGGAGTGCAATGGTGCAATCTAAGGCTCACTGCAACCTCCCACTCCTGAGTTCAAATGATTCTCCCACCTCAGCTTCCAGAGTAGCTGGGATTACAGGCACCTGCCACCACGCCCAGCTAATTTTTGTATTTTTAGTAGAGATGGAGTTTCCCCATGTTAGCCAGGCTGGTCTTGAACTCCTGACCTCAGGCAATCCGTCCGCCTCAGCCTCCCAAAGTGCTGGGATTACAGGCGTGAGCCACCGTGCCCAACCAAGTATATTTTTAAGATCATCTTGTTACCTACAAACTCTCCAACAAACTCTAAATGCTAGACCAGAAGTTCCCATTGACATTTCAAAAATTATTGTGGGAATGGGTATTGGGCTTCCAGCTGCTTGTTTCTCAAATAAAAGCATGAACCACACTCAGCTTCTCTCCACAATCTACCAAGTATCCTAATCGTTATTACATAAAAGGACATTTAATACCAAAAACATAAAAAAGAATCTCAGAATAATATGTATTTCTTTAAATTATTGTAGCTTAATTAAAAACAAATAGCATTATAATAATTTTTCTAATTTTGCTGATCTTGGACTAGGTTTTTAAAGAATTACTTTTATGAGTGATTTACCTGTAGCAACTATGCCATTGTCCACATGAGTCAAGGACTGGGGGCGGCTTCGAAGTTTGCTTTTGAAAGATCTTGGTCGACGTGGTGATGCAGGTGGCAAAGGAATCTCTGTAGATTGGGTTTTGCTATCTTTAATTGAGCGAAGGCGTTCATAGAGTTCTTGCAGCTCCTTATTCTGCTGGGTTTGAAGATTTACCACCTCCTGAATGTGTCTGAATGAAAATCATGCAGAAAGCATTTTAATGGCACTGGCTCCATAAAGATGAGCCAAGAAACTCTATACTAGTATAAGTAAAGTTTCACAAGGAATTTAGATTAAGAGTAGGGAAATGCAGACTGGGCACAGTGGCTTACGTCCATAATCCCAGCACTCTGGGAAGCCAAGGCAGGAGTACTGCTTGAGGCCAGAAGTTCAAGACAAGCCTGGGTAACAGAGGGAGACCTTCTCTCTCTTAAAAAAAAAAAAAGAAAATTAGCTGGGTACGGTGGTGCATGCCTGTAGTCCCAGATACTCAAAAGGCTGAGGCAGGAGGATCACTTGAGCCCAGAAATTCAAGGCTGCAGTGAGCCAAGATCGCAACAATGTACTTTAGACTGGGTAAAAGAGAGAGACCCTATCTCAAAAAAGAAAGAAGAAAGAAAAGAAAAGAAAAGAAAAGAAAAAAGGAGGGAGGGAAAGAGGAAGGGAGGGGAAATACAGAGTATTTCCACAATTTCAGGAGGGGAAGTGGGAAATACCTTACTAAGCATAATATTAAACTATAATAATCACTCATGAAGAAAAAGATGAACAAATTTCTAAAATTGAAATACAGTGAAAGTCAATAAAACAAAATATAAAGTCAAACAGTATTAATAATATTAACATTTTTTGCCGGGTGCAGTGGCTCACGCCTGTAATCCCAGCACTTTGGGAGGCTAAGGCAGCAAGATTGCTTGAGCCCAGGAGTTTGATACCAGCCTAGACAACATAGTGAGACCCTGTCTCTATGAAAATTTAAAAAAAATCATCCAGATATGGTGGCATGTGCCTGTAGCACAAGCACCTCAGGATGCTGAGGCAGGTAGATTTCTTGAGCCAGAGGTCGAGGCTTCAGTGAGCAATGACAGCACCACTGCACTCCAGCCTGGGCAACAGAGCAAGACCTCATCTCAGTAACAATTTAATAGTAATAAAAGAATAAATAAAAATTGGTGAAGAAACCATAATGCTAAAAGAACACTGAAGGCAGAATAAATTATCTTTTAAGATCCCTTCTAGACTAGGCATGGTGTCTCATGCCTGTAATCCCAGCACTCTGGGAAGGTGAGGCAGCACTCTGGGAGGCTAAGACAGGAGGTTGGCCTGAGGCTAGGAGTCTGAGACCAGTCTGGGCAACACAGGGAGACTTCATCTCTATAAAAAATTTAAATATTAGCTGGATATGTTACACATCTGCAGTTCCAGATAATTGGGAGGCTGAGGTAGGAGGATGGCTTGAGCCCAGAAGGTAGAGGCTACAATGAGCCATGATTACACCACTGTGCTCCAGCCTGGGCAACACAGCAAGACTCTGTCTCAAAATAAAAGATCCTTTCTGGGCCAGGTGCGGCGGCTCACACCTGTAATCCCAGCACTTTGGGAGGCCAGGCTATCAAGACCAGCCTAGCCAATATGGCAAAAATTCACCTCTACTAAAAATTAAAAACAAACAAACAAACAAACAAACAAGCCAAGCATGCTGGTGCACACCTGTAGTCCCATCTACTCAGGCGGTTGAGGCACGAGAATCACTTGAACCCAGGAGGCAGAGCCTGCAGTCAGCCCAGATCATATCACTGTACTCCAGCCTGAGCAACAAAGCAAGACTCTGCCTCAAAAAAAGAAAAAATAGAGGAGGCCAGGCGCAGTGGCTCACGCCTATAATCCCAGTGCTTTGGGAGGCTGAGGCAGGATCACGGGGTCAGGAGTTCAAGACCAGCCTGGCCAACATGGTGAAACCCAGACTCTACTAAAAATACAAATTTAGCCAGGTGTGGTGGCGGGTGCCTGTAATCCCAGCTACTCAGGAGGCTGAGGCAGAGAACTGCTTGAACCCAGGAGGCGGAGGTTGCAGTGAGCTGAGATTGCACCACTGTACTCCAGCCTGGGCAACAGAGTGAGACAACTCAAAAAAAAGATTCTTTCCAGGTCTTGGAGGTTATAAGAATCCATGTCTCACAATCAAAATAAAGCACATATTCATAACCAGCCAGCTACAAAAACTTAGCCTACAAAAGTTACCAGTCATTTGACAATGGTTTAAAAGAACCATTAAAAATAGCAATAGAATACTGATATCACAAATATGAAACTGCTTTAATAACTTTTATTATAAAAAGTATCAGCGTACATGCACGGTACTTAATATATAAGTTGACATATACATAATGTAATGCCAAGCCTATATGTATAATTTAAAGTGGAATATCAGCCTTCTGGTGATGAATATTTAAAGTATATATTCACAATTTTCTTGCAAGCTCAAGTCAAAAAACCTGAAACAAGTTAGAGAGAAAATACTATAATTATCACTGGAATGACAGTTATGGGTTTTTTTTTTTCCTCTGAGCAAGGCCTTAGAAACTAAGAAATTTCCAAGGATTTTAATATGATTTAATTCTTGCAGCACTCTAATGTAGCATCCAAGTGGGACATTATTCAAACATGTAAGTACTTGACTAAAATCCAGCTTTTTAAAAAACATTTTTTGAGATGGAATCTCACTCTATCGTCCAGGCTGGAATGCAGTGGTACAATCTCAGCTCACTGCAACCTCTGCCTCCCAGGTTCAAGCAATTCTCTGCCTCAGCCCCTTGCATAGCTGGGATTACAGGAGTTCACCACCACACCTGGTTAATTTTTGTGTTTTTAGTAGAAATGGAGTTTCACCATGTTGGCCAGGCTGGTCTTGAACTCCTGACCTCAGGTGATCCACCTGTCTCGGCTTCCCAAAGCACTAGGATTATAGGTGTGAGTAACCACAATTGGCCAAATCCAGCTTTTTACATGCCTATATTTTTAGTCCTCCCTTCTTTACAAATTGTTCAAGTCCCACAACAGTGCAGAAATTCTCTAAAGCATAAGATATATTCAAACTTTGCTAGAGTTGGTTTCAATTTCTCAAAGTAATGGCATGGGATCATCAATAGGAGGCTAGTATTTAACTTATGAATATATACATATGATGGAATACTTTGGAACTGTCAAAAATAGAATGATATATCTCCAAGATATCATGAAATGGTGAAGAAAAGCAAGATAAAAGAACAGCCTTGCAGTGTAAGTTACTATTTGGGGGAACAAAGAATGAAATATGTACATTTGTTTGTATAGTTATAGACTAACTGGATATATAAAAAAACAGATAAAATTTATTGTGTCTAAGGAGAGATCCTGGGTAGTTCAGGTACAATGCTAGGAGGGAGACTACTGGTTACCCTTTTGTACCTTTTGAATTTTGAACCGTGTGGATAGAATTTGAATTCAGAAACTTAATATGAATTCCTTCCTCCCTTCCTCCCTCTCCCTCCCTCCCTCTTGTACCTTTTGAATTTTGAACTGTGTGGATAGAATTAGAATTCTGCAACTTAATATGAATTTCCTCCCTCCCTCTCTCCTTTCCTCCCTCCCTCCCTCCTTCCCCTTTCTTCCCTTCCTTCCCTTCCTCCCTTCTTTGATGGGGTCTTGCTCTGTCACCCAGGCTGGAGTGCAGTGGCACACAATCTTGGCTCACCACAACCTCCACCTCCCAGGCTCAAGCAATTCTCCTGCCTCACCCTCCCAAGTAGCTGGGATTACAGGCGTCCGCAACCATACCTGGCTAATTTAATTTTTTTGAGATTGAGTCTTGCTCTGTCGCCAGGCTGGAGTGCAATGGCACAATCTCAGCTCACTGCAACCTCCGCCTCCTGGGTTCAAGCGATTCTTCTGCCTCAGTCTCCCGAGTAGCTGGTACTACAGGCACGTGCCACCACACACAGAGAATTTTTGTATTTTTAGTAGAGACAGCATTTCATCATGTTGGCCAGGATGGTCTCGATCTCTTGACCTCATGATCCTCCTGCCTTGGCCTCCCAAAGTGCTGAGATTACAGGCATGAGCCACCATACCTGGCTAATTTTTTTTTTTTTTTTTAAGTAGAGACAAGGTTTCACCATGTTGGCCAGGCCAGTCTCAAACTCCCAACCTCAGGTGATCCACCTGCCTCTGCCTCCTAAATAGCTGAGATTACAGGCATGAGCCACCATACACAGCTGGCCTGAATTTTTTTTTTTTTTTGAAATGAAGTTTTGCTTGTCACCCAGGCTGGAGTGCAATGGCGCGATCTTGGCTCACTGCAAACTCCACCTCCTGGGTTCAAGCAATTCTCCTGCCTCAGCCTCCTGAGTAGCTGGGATTACAGGCACCCACCACCACGCCCAGCTAATTTTGTTATTTTAGTAGAGATGGGGTTTCTCCACGTTGGTCAGGCTAGTGTCGAACTCCTGACCTCAGATGATCTGTCCACCTCGGCCTCCCAAAGTGCTGGGATTACAGGCATGAGTCACCACATCTGGGCTGAATTTCTTTCTTTAAAACCACCTATTTTTTTTTTTTTTTTTTTTGGAGACGGAGTTTTGCTCTTGTTACCCAGGCTGGAGTGCAATGGTGCGGTCTCGGCTCACTGCAACCTCCGCCTTCTGGGTTCAGGCAATTCTCCTGCCTCAGCCTCCTGAGTAGTTGGGATTACAAGCACACACCACCATGTCCAGCTAATTTTTTGTATTTTTAGTAGAGACGGAGTTTCACCATGTTGACCAGGATGGTCTCGATCTCTTGACCTCGTGATCCACCTGCCTCAGCCTCCCAAAGTGTTGGTATTACAGGCTTGAGCCACCGCGCCCAGCCTAAAACCACCTATTTTATAAAACTAAATACAAAACAGCATTCTATTGAGAAAATATATTATCATAATATCACTTGTGAAGGTTGATTACCTTAGTCACCAAATAATAAGATTGATCTTTAAAGTATCTTACCTATTCCTAAAGAAGATGAACTACTATCTCTGATTGTAATAAGTCAGCTGTTTACTTATCAAATGTGAAATTATATAAGAATAGTTGTAAAATCTAAAACCAAAGTCCTGAAGAATACGGATTGTAAAGGTTAGCAAAAAGAGTAATTAAATCATATTGGTAAATAAGCAATTGTAATTAGTCTTCAGATCATGAAAACATTTTATATATAAGGCCTTTTTATCATTCATAAATGTTTAGCATTAGCATTCTTTGTAGTTTTCAATCATTAAAATGTCACCAATCCTAAATTAGTTACCAATCAAATACTATGTTCTATAAAACCCAGGGTAATGAGATTTGTGACAAAAGAGAAACAGTCCTTACTTTTCTCGTAATCTTTGAAGCTCCACCTTCAAGTCCTCATCCTCTATTTCTGATTCATCATCACTGCTCATTGGGGAAGATGGTGAATAGAAGAGCGAACTCTGTGTTTGAGCATAAGCTTGTTCTTCATGGTGGGGTAAGCACTGATCACTCTCTGGACCAGTCTTTGCTCCTGACTTTCCACTGCCAGCAAGACTGGCTGAAAATTCACTATCAGAGCTAGGCTGTTTCCCAGCAGTCAGCATCTCTTTCTCTTTAAGCAATGGTTCAGATCCAGACTGCATGCTACTTCCTGCATCTGGAGTTTCTTCCAGTTCCTTTTCTGGGGTCATTGAAGATACATCAGTCTCACAAGCTGTGCTGAAAGATAAGAAGTTGTCACGTTGTTTGGGAACTCCTTTATTTTCTTTACAGGTTTCATGAAGAGCTTGTAACTTCTCAGAAGAAAATGAAGTTTTTGGATTGTGTGTGGCAGGTTCTATTTCTACCAACTGAGACTTTGCTGTTTTAATAAAGGCTTCTTCACTAGAATGATTCGTCTCACTGAACACTGATATGTGTTCTATTCCAAAAGATGTCACTTTTGCTGACTGCTGCTGAGGAACTGTAATCACCTGGGATACAAAAAGGTAAAAGTGGTTAGTATAGGACAGAGAAGTAGATGGTCTGCTGTGATGTATATTTATTGATACTAGCAAAACTCCTCTATAGCCCCAAATTCAGTCTTTCAATCAGGCCCCTTGGGTAAAGAGAGTGGGTGTCATATTGCTCAAATAAAATTCCACAATTAGAGCTGCTGAGACTCTAAAGGACATGAAATTACATTTACGAAAGAGGACCCACCCACCCACCAAAAAAATGATAATCTATTTCTGTGCTCTTTTCCAGCTACCGAAATCTCCATTTTTTTTTTTTTCTTTTTTGAGATGGAGTGTCGCTCTTGTTGCCCAGGTTGGAATGCAATGGTGCAATCTTGGCTTATCACAACCTCCACCTCCTGGGTTCACGTGATTCTCCTGCCTCAGCCTCCCAAGTAGCTGGAATTACAGGCATGCCCCACCATGCCCAGCTAATTTTGCATTTTTAGTAGAGATGGGATTTCTCCATGTTGGTCAGGATGGTCTCGAACTCCCAACCTCAGGTGATCCACCCTCCTTAGCCTCCCAAAGTGCTGGGATTATAAGCGTCAGCCACCGCGCCTGGCCCAAATCTCCATTTCTTTAGACTCATCTTTACTGATGGCTTCAAAAGGTGAGGGGATGCATGCAAGGTGAACAAATTAAATATAACAATGATCTACATTTAAAGAAAGTATCATCTACAGACCAAGATCTCTAGTGGCTGCTACATTTTATAATGCCCTTGTAGATAAGGATTCAATCAAAGACACAAACCTGGAACCGACCCCGCTGAAATGATCCACTCATCGCTTTACATCTATTCAAAGCCCTAGTATCAGCTGTGGACTCCCGTGTCAGAGGAATGGGATCAGGAGCAATTGCTGATCTCATCTCTTCTGTTTCCACTGCAAGTTTTGCCAAATAGTAAGTGGAAAAGAGAAAATTGTTTGTTAAGACTAAATTTGTTTATATTACCCAAAATGAAGAAAAGTAGAAAAAGCTTAACTCCTGCTAGACAATTAAAAGGTGTTAATGTAATAAGCAACATTGTATAAGTCCCTAAGTCTAAACCAGACATTGCAAGATTTATCCCAAGACTTAGCATCTATATGAAATGAATAACTGGAAAACCAAATTAGTTACAAAAGGAAAAAATAAAATGGCAATGACATTAATGGGACATGTCACATACATGGGCTATGTGGAAAAAGTGGCAAGATTTGTGTATGAACAAAAAAAAAATAAGTAAATGAAAAGTGATGTTACCTAGTCTATGTCCCTGACTGTAAGCACACTACCTTGACGGACTTTTGATCTCTTGAAAAAGCTGGTTGACTGCCGTAGCCTGTATGCCCAGCTTTTTAATTTGCGAGTCCAGGATTTCTTGCTAATAGGATTTTTGAGACTAGGACAAGTAAAGCTTAGGCCAAAATATCCACCTCCTGTCTGCAGATGAATGGCTCCACCGCTTGACACAGCAGCAGGATAGGCCTCTGGATCCCCTGGAAGTGAAGCATCTGAGGACATCTCCTAATGGAGACAAAAAATAAAAACAAACAAACAAACAAACAAACAAAAAAAACACAAGAAACAAGAAAAACCAAAGTGGTAATAATTTAGGTAAAGTTTTTTTTTTTAAGTAACATTGGAATTTCTTGGATGGACTAATCTTTAACCCAAAATAAGGTATTTATTATGTATACAGTTGCATGAATAGTAGCATATCAGACTGAACCTGAAGTATTCAATTTTTAAAAATTAAGCCTTCTTCTTTCTTTAAAAATATTATTTAGACTTTAGTAGATAAAAGAGATTATTAATCTTCGAACTCAAATATTTTTCATCATTATATCAACTTTGAAAACTTAAAATCAAATTAAAATTTCCTTCATATGTGCTGGTTTGCTAAAAAGGTGACTAAAACTCCATGCTATTATCATGAAAATTTTCATATATGTCCATATAATTATTTAAGAGACTTTATTAAAGATATATAAAGGACATCAAAATTACTTCAAAATCATGCTCTAAAAATTCTTGTTAGCGTCAGGCTATGCTGGCTATAAAATCACTCCCCTCTTCTTGTCCTCCTACTCCCCACAAAAAGGCCCCCGATTTAACTGTTGTATCTAAATGAGTGCTTTAAAAATAAATCCCCCATAATAACTAATATGAAAAGTTAGCACAGACAACCAGAAATACTTTGGGAAACATGAGAAGGGTGACTACTAATCTAGAAGATTAAAAATATATATAAAAGCACAGAGAATGGGATTTAGCATTTGCCTGAAGGAAGATAGCCTCTATGGCAGTAAGTATGATGTCTTGGGGAAGCATTATTAATACTTAGGGCAGGGCCAGGTGCAGTGGCTCACGCCTGTAATGCCCACATTTTGGGAGGCTGAGGCGGGTGGATCGCCTGAGGTCAGGAGTTCGAGATCAGCCTGGCCAACATGGTGAAATCCTGTCTCTACTAAAAATACAAAATTAGTCTGGTGTGGTGGTGCATGCCTGTCATCCCAGCTACTTGGGAGGCTGAGGCAGAAGAACTGCTTGAGAACCCGAGAGGTGGAGGCTGCAGTGAGCTGAGATTGCACCATTGCACTCCAGCCTAGGTGACAAGAATGAAACTCTGTCTTAAAAAAAAAGAAAAAAACCTTAAGGCAGGTCATATTAAAAATAAAATTACCCTGAAGAACCAAGACTTTCAGAGATGCAAAAGAGAAAAAAACATTGTGAGCAATCAGTTTTTATTTTCTGAAGTCTCATTTTAAACTAGTAATAATTAGTTTCATGAGGAGAAAAAAACAGTATTACAATTTAGAAAATGTTACATTGGTCCCACTGAAATTACAGAAAAGAATTTTAACATGTAGGACCTGGATCAAGATGGCTAATTAAATATTTGTTCTAGCCTTCCTTATCAATCCAAATTTACAGACGCAACAGGAAAATAGACATAGACACATGAATATACAACTGAAGAAGGAAAAAGCAGACCGTGACATATGTAGGAATTGTTTCAAAATGCTGCGAACTTGGGTGGCTGATACAGGCAGCAGGAGAGAACCCTGGCCAACCAAAAAGATGAGTGGTCGGCTAGAATGCTTACAAAACTCTATCGGATCTATCTTCTGTCTCTTTCAATGTTATCTTTTAATGTTCTCTTGTTTGCTGGCCTTCTTTTGGTTCCTTGAACAGATCTCTTCCTGTGCCTATCACCACCACATACCAGTCCTTCCCTGACTACCATATAGAGGTTTAGTATCCATTTTCTTCCACTAGAATATGAGCTCCATAAAAACAGGTTTTGGCTTATTCCCTGCTAAAGAGATGTTCACTGAATGAAAGAATGAACTGGTTGGGATAACGAAGAAGGAACAGGCAGGCAGTTTGTCCCTTCCCTCCCAACCTATACACCAAGCAAAGGACAGCAGAAGCATGTGCCCCCAAATAGGAGTGGCAAGAGGAAAAGGTCTGTGGCCAAGACAGGTCAACAATGTAGGGAGGAGACAACATCCAGGAAGAAAGGTAAGCCCTCCTACCTTTGGGGACTAGCTAGTGGGCCACTCTCCAGGCAGTATCAGAGACAAGTTACAAAATGCAGTGTCAGGAAGATGTCCCATACCTTTCCCACAATTATTGAAGGAAGGTTACAGTAATTATATAAAGTCCTTACAGACAGATGAACAAGGAATCTTATAAGTGAAAAAGAAGAGAACTCAACTAAGCATCACTAAACATCTAGAGAAAACTAACATTATAAGAAAATACTAAAATCAGCAAACAGAACAGCCAAGGAAATACCACTAATAACACAGATTAAGACTTTAATATCTTCAGAGAGATGTGTGAATGTACTATGTCTATAAAAAAGGAATAAACTATAATTACTAGAAATTAAAACAATATAATACTTGACACAAAAAAATAGCTGAATAGGAGATGCAACAGGTTAAAAATTGAGAAATTATCCCAGAACAAAACGAAAAAGGACAGACAAATGGAAAGCCTGAGAAGTTTATAGATAGGAGCCAGGTGTGGTGGCTCATGCCTGTAATCCCAGCACTTTGGGAGGGTGAGGCAGGTGGATCACCTGAGGTCAGGAGTTCCAGACCAGCCTGGACAACATGGTGAAACCTCATCTCTACTAAAAATATAAAAATTAGCTGGGCATGATGGTGGGCACCTGTAATCCCAGCTACTTGGGAGGCTGAGGCAGGAGAATCACCTGAACCTGGGAGGGAGGTTGCAGTGAGCCGAAATCATGCCACTGCATGCCAGCCTGGGTGACAGAAGTGAGACTCCATCTCAAAAAAAAAAAAAAAAGTTTATAATTAAGAAAACTAGGAAATGAAGAAATAAAACTATCTCTATTCATAGTTGACATGATCTTATATATAGAAAATCCAAAACAATCCACCATAAGCTATTAGTTAATAAACAAACTCAGTAAAGTTGGAGGATACATCAACACATAAAAATCAGTTGTATTTTTATATACTACCAATGAAGAATCCAAAAAGGAAATTAAGAAAACAATTCCATTTCTAATAACAACGAGAAGAAAATACTTAGGAATATATTTAATCAAGGAGGTGAAAGTCTTATACACCGAAAACTACAAAACATTCATGAAAGAAATTCAAGAATACCAAAATAAACAGGAAGACTTAATCTGTGAACAGTCCACAAAGTGACCTACAGATTCAATGTAATCCGTATCAAAATCCCAATGGCCTTTTTTAATAGGAATAGAAAAGCTGATATTAAAATTCATATAGAATACAGGGGACGCTAAATAGTCAAAAAGCATTTTAAAAGAACAAAGTTGGAGGACTCACATTTCCTGATTTCCAAATGTACTACAAAACTATAGTAATCAAAACACTGTCCTTTTGCTACGGACATAAGGATAGATACTGGATCAATAGAATAGAATTAAGAGTCTAGAAATAAATCCATACATCTGTAGTCAATTGATTTTTTTACAAGAGTACCAAGACCATTCAATGGGGGAAAGAATAGTTTCTTCACCAAATGGTGCTGAATAATCGGCTATCTAAACGCAAAAGAAAAAAACTGGACCCTTGTCTTGTACATATACAAAAATTAACTCAACGTATATCAAAGACCTAAATATAAGAGCTAACAAAGCAATACAAGAAAAAGTAGATAATCAGACTTCAACAAAAATAAAAACTTTTGTGCATTAAAGGTATCATCAAGAGAGTGAAAAGATAACGCCATGGAATGGGAGAAAATATCCACAAATAAAATATCTAATAAAGACATAGCATCCAGAATACATAAAGAATTTTTATTTTATTTTATAGAGATCGGAGGAGGTGGGTGGGTCTCACTATGTTGCCCAGGCTGGTCTTGAATTCCTGGGCTCAAGTGATCTTCCTGCCTTGGCCTCCCTAAGTGATGGGATTATGGGCTTCAGCCACCATGCCCAGCCACACATATAAAGAATTCTTACAACTCAACAACACAAACAACAACCCAATTAAAAAACAGGCAAAGGACCTGAATAGGCACTTCTCCAAAGAAGATATACAGATGGCCAGCAAGCACATGTAAAGATTATCAATACCACTAGCCAATAAGCAAATGCAAATTAAGACCACAATAAGATACCACTTTACAGTCACGAGGATGGCTATCATCAAAAAATTGGAAAACAAGCGTTGGTAAGCACGTAGACAAATTCGAACCCTCACATTGTGCTGGTGGGAATGTAAATGGTGTGGCTGCTCTAGAAAAGAGTTTGGCAGTTCTTCAAAAAGTTAAACGTAAAATTACCATATGCCCCAGAGAAATGAAAACAGGAATTCATATGAATACATTATATGAATGTCCATAGCAGCACTATTCACAACAGCCGAAAGGTAGAAACCAATGTCCATCAACCAATGAATGGATAAACAAAATGCAGTACAGCCATAAAATGGAATATGAACCTTGAAACATTATGCTAAGTGAAAGAAACCAGGCGCAAAGGCCATATCTTCTATGGTTCCAATACATGAAATATCTAGCATAATCAAATCTATATTGACAGAAAGCAGATTTGTGGTTCTAAGGGGCAAGGGGGAAGGAAGAATGAATAGTGACTGCTTAATGGGTATGAAGTTCCTTTTTTTGGGGTGATGAAAAAGTTCTGGAACCAGATAATGTTCATGGATACACGACCTTGTGCATGTATTTAATGTCACTGGATTGAACACTGTAAAATTGTTAAAATTCTAAGGAATCACAAGAAAAGATAAGCTTCCATATTTGTAAAGCACAAAGAATATGAAATAAGATGAACAATAAAGAGAATATACCAAAAGCATCTATGTAGCCCTTTAAGGAGGTACTATTATCTCAATTTTACAGAGGAGAAAACTAAGGCTGGGTAAATGATGTAGGTAATTTGCCTAGTATTACACAGAAAATGGCAAAGCAAGATTTTGAAACTGGTTTGTGGGGTTCAAAAGCTGTTTTCTTTCTAATGTGTTTCAGTAAGACCTTTTTCATCTAAAAAAATATTACAAGTAATACATTGTGAAAGGAAAACAAAACCTCAGGACCCTAATTCACTATGCCAAAAAGAAAAAAAATTAAGCTGAAAGCTCTCATGCAAGAAACTGCATTTCATTTTGTTCCTAAGCAGACAACTACAAATGAAAGGTTAACTACCTCCAGAGATAGCGACCCTATGTTCACCTTATCTTATGTAAAGTGCTGATTAACTGAGCAAAATTATGAGATGAAAACGTAATTGACTATTTTCCTACCTGCTCCTTTTCTCTTGCAACATGTAGATTACCATAACTCCCTTTTTTCCCTCCAGATTGCTTTTCCCCTTTAAATATTTAAGCCCTCAAAATCATCTTTGGAGAAAGGCACAGACCACAGACTGTATCAGTGATTACATGTTTCCTCACTTCTAGGCATGTCCTTAACCATGGCAAAATCAACTTCTAAATTGATTGAGACCTGCCTTAGATACTTTTTGGTTTGTAGCATGAATAATTGTCTACTATAAAAGTTCTAAACCATTACATAAAACAAAAATCTCTGTAACAACCCTCCTTCCCAGTCCCCCTAGAAGATACCCGCTAATATCAGTTTATCTTTTCAGAACTTTTTTGTACGTGTGTGTGTGCGTGTGCGTGTGCGTGTGCGTGTGCACGTGTGTGTGTGTTCCTTTTCAAAAATACAGGAGGCCAGGTGTGGTGGCTCATGTCTGTAATCCCACTGCTTTGGGAGACCAAGGCAGGAGCATTGCTTGAAGCCAGGAGTTCAAAACCAGCCTGGGCAACATTGCAAGACCATGTCTCTACAAAAAATTAAAAATTGAGCCAAGCATGGTAGCACACAGTTGTAGTCCCAGCTACTTGGGAGGCTGAGGCAAGGGAATGATCACCTAAGCACGGGAGGTTGAGACTACAGTGAGCCATGATCATGCCACTGCACTCCAGCCTGGGTAACAGAGTGAGACCCTGTCTCAAACACACACACCTCATCATACTGCCTGAATTATTCTGCGTATATTTTTCCTGATGATTTTTCTTGGAGATATGTCCATGCTAAAATAAAGGTGATAATAGCTAACATATATTTATAGGTCTACTTCATGCTTTCCAATTGCTTCATAGTATCAATCTCCTTAAATTTCTATTTACAAATATTTAAACTTGTTTGTGAATCTTTTCTTAACTTTTTTTTTTTTTTTGAGATGAAGTTTTGCTCTTGTTGCCTAGGCTGGAGTGCAATGGCCCAATGTTGGCTCACTGCAACATCCACTTCCCGGGTTCAAGGGATTCTCCTAACTCAGCCTCCTGAGTAGCTGAGATTACAGGCGCCCACCACCACACCTGGCTAATTTTTTGTATTTTTAGTAGACATGGGTTTCACCATTTTGGTCAGGCTGGTCTCAAACTCCTGACCTCAGGTGATCCACCTGCCTCAGCCTCCCAAAGTGTTGAGATTACAGGCGTGAGCCACCATGCCTGGCTGTGAATCTTTTCCTGTTACATATAATCAAACAATGTAACACTGAACATTCTTATACATGTTCTTTTGTTCATATATGCAAATGCTTCTCTCAGGTAGAATATGACAGTGACATAGCTCAGTCACAGGAATGCACACATTTCTAACTTTCAGTGCTAAATTGCCCTCCAAGTAGGCTGCACTGATTTTATTCCTACCAACCAAAATAAAAATTATCACATCTGGCCATCAATTTCTTTAATACTTGCTAGTGTGATTAGCAAAAAGCATTTTTTTTCATTAAAATTTTGCTTTTCCCTCATTACTAAGAAAGTTGAACATCTTTTCACATGTTTAGCAGGCATTTCTATTTCCACTTCTGTGAAATGCACGTTCAGATGCTTTGGCTATTCTTCCACTGAGTTGTCTGATCTTTTCTCAATGATTTGTAAGCATTCTTTATATATTTTAGAGTTAATATTTTGTCAGTTTTCTGAGAAAAAAGCTTGGAAGAAAACTATATGCAAAAATAGGTTGCTATGAAAATGGAGCCAAGAGTAAGATTTAAAAAATCAAATTCATGACTGCCAAATGAAAAATTAACTGGATACAGCTGAATACCAAGAGAATGATCTGAAATTTAAAAAGAAAAAAAAAAATGAAGTCATATCTGAGAACATAAGGTTTTACAAAATAAAATTAAAAGTGAGAGCAAGCTGTTAAGAAACATGGGGGATAATCCAAGAGGCCATGTATCTCCTACAGTTTCTAAATGGAAATAAGCAAGACAATGAAGGGGAAGAAAAAAAGAAACAAAAATAAAGTTTACTAGAGCTGAAAAAAAGACACAAATCTTCAAATTTGAAGCATCCACAAAAGTGATATACAAAATGAATGGCAAAGTGATATACCTAGAAACATTCTGATAATGAGAACTCCAAGATAGTTTCCTAAAAGCAGCTAGACCTGTGCGAACTGAATACAGTAGCTACTAATCACATGTGGCTGTCTAAATTTAAATTAATTTAAATTAAATTAAAAATTCAGGCCCTCAGTCGCTCTAGCCACATTTCAAGTGCTCAGTAGTCATATCTGCTTAGTGGTTACTGCATTGGATTGTGCAGATATAGAACATTTCCACATTGTAGAAAGTACTAGAGCACTACTGACATCACTCCCATCAGCAATACCTAAAGCTAATAAAAGACAATAAAACAATGCCTTCCAAATTGAGAGGAAAAAATTCTGATCCTACTATCTATATTCAGTCAATCAAGTGGGAAGCAACATAAAGACATTTTTGGACATGCAAAAGAATATCAAATAGGATACTCATGCAACATATTTGAAAATATTACTTAGAGAAGTATTTTAGGGGAAAAGAGAAGAATTCCAGGACACCAGAAACAGTGGCAGCTAAGTATGATCCAGATGTAGCAACAGACACTTGAAACAGATATAAGAATCCATTTGACCTTGACACTTCAGAGGGTCTCCTTTGAGCAATAAAGTTTAAATGACAGAAATAACAGTTCATTTCTTAAGATTTGAATCATATTATGTGATCATATTTATTTTAAAAAATTAAAACTTAAAAAAATATTTAAATTTTATCAGTAGAATATAATGCAGTTGTTTCAAAAAGTTAAGTAAGACGGAACTATGTGTACTGACATGGATAGATGTCCATAAATGAAAAAATGCAGAATAGCATATATATGTAAAGAAGTATATGCATATTAATATTAACATGTATCTATATCTGTATAAAGATACAAAATATCATATATAAGAAGTATGTCTTTATAAATATTTGTATATTAAAATCATGTCTGGAAAGATTTGGTAACAACTGTGTGTATACGTTTGGGGATGGGGTGGATTTTACTTTATGTACAAGTATATATTATTACTTATATAATAATGACAAAAACATACAATGACAAAGATTTAAAAAGAGGTCCATGATATACTATAAGGTGAAAAAATTAAGTTGCAGACCAATATTTGTATAGCACAGTATTTTTATGAATGTTATACGTATGTAAGTAGATCCGTATAAGCTTAAGAAAAGACCAGAAGGATAAGCACTGAATTATTAGTGGTTACTTCTGTGATTTAAAGGGGCAGAAAAGAAAAATTAAAGTTCTTACATTATATAACTCAAAAAATAAGTCAGGCCAGGCATGGTTGCTTACACCTATAATCCCAGCACTTTGGGAGGCTGAGGTGGGCCAAGGCAGGATCAAAGGTCAAGAGTTTGAGACTAGCATGGCCGGTGTAGTGAAACCCCATCTATACTATGAATAAAAAAATTAGCCGGGTATGGTGGCACATGCCGATAATCCCAGCTACTTGGGAGGCTGAGGCAGGAGAATTGCTTGAACCTGGGAGGTGGAGGTTGCAGTGAGCTGAGATTGCATCACTGCACTCCAGCCTGAGCGACAGAGCAAGATTCCGTCTTGGGGAGGAAAAAAGTCATGAGATTAATGATGATTTTTACTTTCTTTTTTGTTTTGTCAAATTAAATCCCCCCAAACATGGTTAAATTAAAAACCATAACTTTTTTTTAAAGAAGGAAACTGATAACCAGCATTTTAAATGAAAATCTAAAAGTTCTTCCTACCCACTAAAACAACCCATGAGTCAGTTTTCGTTTTGTCTTTAATATAAATATAGACACTGCTTGCAAGTTCTTAGCTAATTCACCAGAGGGCTCTCTTACCAAAGATAGTCTGTCATCTCTACTGAGAGGTTCTGAACACCTGCAGCCTAAGTCATGGTCTTCTTAAATACCTGTGACCTCGGAATCTTGTGGCATAGACCATTTCATTTCAAAGGACAGAATTTTAGAAGAGAAGGCATTTCTTTAAAACAATAAGCAAAGAGTAAGGAACTGGTTAGAAAGAATGATACTTACGTGTAAACACAATTCGCTGGGTACAGAAGTTATCACATTCAGGTCCCTTTTGAACACTGATATATTAGCAGGCTGACTTGCAGCCACATTGGACAGAATCTTAGAGCCTGGCTGTTGGAAATTAGGGGACTGTACAGGGCTATCTTGAATTCCACAGTGACTGATAGCTATGACTTCTGTCACTGGACAGGAGAGGGTATCTTCAGCCGAGGAAGAAAATGGAGAATCTACGCTTTGGGTATCCTTTTGACTCTCGGGATAGATGCTAGAGATGCTGTGCTCCTGATAGAGCAAGTTTCTTAATTTTTCATCCAGAGTTTTAATTCGGTTGTCTGCAAACTCCAGTTTTGGAGGTCTTTCTCCATCTGATTCCAGGACAGTAGTGGGTTGAAGGGTAGCTGGTTCAAGGCCAGGGGTCTGAGTGGGAATGACTGTCTTAGGAGAACTTGTTTCAGTGTTCACTGTAGTTTCTCCTTCTTGGGTAATAACCTCTGAATCCATAGCTGGCTGCTGTACTGATAAGGTATGAGGCTTTTGATCAAATGCCGGAGTTGTAACAGAGTTACCAGCAAGCTGAGTTGATTCGCCAGGATGGGACATAAGTGCATCAGCCTGACTGGCAGTTTGGTGGCGTGGATACGCAGGTATGAATATGCTCGCTTGTTTGGTGAATCCCTCACGTTCAGCTGGAACTGCACGAACTGAAGTAGTAGAGTAAGTGGAACTACTAGTAATTGGTGCCATTATCTGCCTGTTATCTTCCACTTGATAAAGTATGGCTGGCTGCTTGGTTTCTACACTAGCACACTCAGAAATCTTACCATCAACCACATCCTTGTGTTCTGATTTGGAGGTGAAGAGTGCACGGTGGCATGGATTATTTTCTATAGTGAGCAGTGTATCCCGTGATATTTCCTTATTACTTGTTTTTTTTGGACCTGGAACAATAATAAAGAATGGCTTAGCACATACTGATGAGTACAAAGCATAGACTAGTGCTTCAAGTCGAAAGGAATAGGAGAAAGGGGCAAATGAGAACCTGTGTGAAAGTACTCTTGTAAATAAAAGACTCAAAACACACAGAATTCAACCTGTGAAGGAAAAAAGGGTTTTCCTTTTTTCCCATAAATATTAAACAGGAACTGGCTTAAGCTGTATCCTAATATTAATGTCTTCAAAAATGCTTATGAAAATTCTCATAAGCATAAAATTCCCATGGAAACCAGTTAAAGATATCATATGTATTTTGCATCCCATCCTTTGAATGTGGACAAAGCTGGCAGAGAAGAAAAGCTTACTAGGAAGTGGATGTAGGCCAGCAACCGTAGACATGGAATGCTGAAGAGAAGGAGGAGACTGAGCCTCACGGTTTCTTATCGTTTGATTGATACAGAATCGCCACCGACCAACTGGGGATGACTGAGGAGCAGATTCATCTGCAGAAATAATTAGCAAAAAATAATATGCTAAGCAATTTTCAATTTACTTACCTTACTGACTGAAGAAGGCAGGTTAAAAAAATAATTTCTCTTGTATCTCCATTTCTAATAGTACTAAAACATATGTAATTTGTAAGACCAGCCCTCCCAATACTGACCAAAAAGTCTAAAGCGCTAAGCACACAATATTTTTAGAGAAGGATTTTAGATTCTACTGAAACAAACACTGCATCAATAGCAATTAGAAACAGGGTACTCATTGAAAAAATTGACAGCACTTTTCCCATTAAAACCTGTATCTCCTATTCTGTATCCTAATTATGACAGTGCTTACATAGATCTACACATGTATTAAAATTTACAAAAGTATACAGCAAAGAAAAAGGAGTCATTTCACCGTATGACAATTTTTTAAATAAAGTAAAATAAACCCCTACATCTTAACTGCTACTTGGTAAACTTAAATAAGTAATTCTCTTTTAAACTTTACCCAACTTTGTTAGTCAGAAACCTACTTCGACCTTGGATAACCAGAAAAATGATATAGGAGGACTCTGCATCCTAACACAGTCAAACTACATTTCAGGATAATGGTATCTGCTTCTATTACTCCCATACCACCTTTTGCTTCTTTATGTTGCTATAATTTCTTCAGAGGTCCTCATTTGTCTACGGCTCTTCTCCCCCTCCCAGACACTCTTTAATATACCCATGCCCAGAATTGAGGAATGGAGAGATAAAGTCATCATAAAAGAAAACAGAAGACCCTAGTTTTAGATTTTGGATGTTTATCTGGTGTCTGATTTACAATAAGTTATCAGTGACCAGCGTGGGTAGAAGCCCATCATTCATCGTTACTGGAATAAAATCAAGATATGAATGACTATATTGAAACATGAGGCAAACTTAGAACATGATGACTTTTGTTAAAAAGTTTCTATTTATCTCAAATCAGAAAAAAATAACTTACCAGTTATGCCATTTAAGGTAATCAGTACTGTGACTGCTTTTCTAGTAACAAGATCAAACAACTCAAAACCAGATCAATCAAATAAAGAGCCAACACTTTGGGAAAAGTCAGGGGATGGATTATTACCGCTGGGCCTTTGAAAGTGTGAGAAAACCTACACTAATAAGTTACCAAATTAATTTATTGGCTAACATCTTTCCCAATGAAGGTGTGTTGAAGTTTTCAAATGTCTTGCTTCAACAACCAAATGGCAGATTTTACTAAATATACTTACTGCTGGTTTGAGTAGATGCAGAATTTATCTGTACTTGTTCAGATGACCCTGTCTGGATTAAAAATGAATAGATAAATTAAAAAGTTCCTGATTCATATCTGAGAAGATCTATTTGCTAAACAATTGTTCTCACCTGGTTACTGTTGGAGTCCACAGTAATAGAGTCAACTCCAATGGCTCTTTCTGTGGCAAAGTGGATATGAAGGATCTCCTGGGCTTGACCTACAATAGCTCTCAATTCTTCTACAAATTTTTCTCTCTCACTTTCCAGCACAAAGTTGTCTTCAACCTGCCCAAAAGTAAAAGTAAGTTTCTTCATGAGAATGAATTTAGTTTCTTCAAAGTTAGAATATTATATCAATAAAGACTACCACATAAAGAAAGAAAATTGGGCTGGGTGTGATGGTTCATGCCTGTAATCCCAGCACTGGGAGGCCGAGGCGAGCAGATCACCTGAGGTCGGGAGTTCGAGACCAGCCTGACCAACATGGAGAAACCCCGTATCTACTAGAAATACAAAATTAGCCAGGTGTGGTGGTGCATGCCTGTAATCCCAGCTACTTGGGAGGCTGAGGCAGGAGAATCACTTGAACCTGGGAGGCGGAGATTATGGTGAGCCGAGATCGTGCCATTGCACCCAGCCTGGGCAATAAGAGCAAAACTCCATCTCAAAACAAAAAAAGAAAGAAAGAAAATTAAAATTAAGTATCTAAATCCAAGTGCCACAATAGAATTAACAAAGACCAGCAATAAAATGCCAAATAATACATTAAATTATTCTTTTTTTTTTTTTTTTTTTTTTTTTTTTTTGGGACGGAGTTTCGCTCTTGTTACCCAGGCTGGAGTGCAATGGTGCAATCTCGGCTCACCGCAACCTCCGCCTCCTGGGTTCAAGCAATTCTCCTGCCTCAGCCTCCTGAGTAGCTGGGATTACAGGCACGCGCCACCATGCCCAGCTAATTTTTTGTATTTTTAGTAGAGACAGGGTTTCACCATGTTGACCAGGATGGTCTCGATCTCTTGACCTTGTGATCCACCCGCCTCGGCCTCCCAAAGTGCTGGGATTACAGGCTTGAGCCACCGCGCCCAGCCAAATTATTCTTTTTTATGACTACTAACATTTCTCAGATTGGCACTACCTACCAGAGAAGGAGCCGGCATTTTAAAAAATGTCATTCTATAAATTGGTTGTTATTTGAAGAACTGAGGCAATGTTTAAAACAAATATGTCCAAACCCAAAAGCTTTTAAGTCACAAACCACAAAATGAAACATCTCCAAAGATGATAAGGAATAGCTCAGAAGGCTGGGCGCAGTGGCTCATGCCTGTAATCCCAGCACTTTGGTAGGCTGAGGAGGGTGGATCACCTGAGGTCAGGAGTTCAGGACCAGCCTGGCCAACATGGAGAAACTGTGTCTCTACTAAAAATACAAAAACAAGCCAGGTGTTGTGGGTGTGTGCCTGTAATCCCAGCTATTCGGGAGGCTGAGACAGGAGAATCGCTTGATCCCAAGAGGTGGAAGTTGCAATGGGCTGAGAACACACCACTGCACTCCAGCCTGGGCAACAGAGTGAGACTGGCTCAGGAAAAAAAAAAAAAAAAAAGAATAGCTCAGAAGACCACCAATTAGACTAAACATTCATGAAAAGAATGAAAGAAGAGACGATTCAGAAAACATTATGTTAAACAAAAGACAGAACTGATGAAATAACTTTTAAAATGTTTAATTCTGCTTGGCTAGAAATGCATGGACAAGGAAAGTTGGCAGAAACAAGAAGTATTACATGCACTCTTCCTGCCATCCTAGTCCTATCCCCATCAAAAAAGGGGAATATGCAAAAGTTACTTAGAAAAAAGTAATGAATAGATAAAATAAGGGGGAAGAAATACTACCTTAAGCTGGGCAATTCAAAGACAATATTAAAAACTAAATGAAACAGTAACATGCAAGACGTTAGATCAGTAGCTAACACATTAGAATTACCTGGGGAGGGACACCCCATTTACCCTTATGTCATTCTTACACATTGTATACCTACATTGAAATATCTCATGTACCCCATAAATATATAAACCTTCTATCTACCCACAAAATTTTTTAGAAAACAGAAAAAAAGAATCACCTGGGGGCATAGGTTTTTCAAAGCCTGTTATAAAAAATAAAAATAATAAAAGATAAATTTTTTTTGAGACAGGGTCTCGCTCTGTTGCCCAGGCTAGAATGCAGTGGCATGATCATAGCTCACTGCAGCCTGAATCTCTTGGGCTCAAGCAATCCTCCTTCCTCAGCCTCCCAAAGTGCTGAGATTACATGTGTGGCCACCACATATGGCATTAAAAACATTTTTTTTTTTTAAAGACAAGGTCTCACTCATTACGTTGTCTAGGCTGGTCTTGAACTCCTGGGCTGAAGTAATCCTCCTGCCTCAGCCTCCCAAAGTGCTGGGATTACAGGCATGAGCCACTGTGCCCAGAAAAAAATAAACTTAAAAAAAAAATACTTGGGGAGTTTACAAACTATTGATGCTTAGGTCTCACCTCCAAAGATTCTGATTTAATCAGGGGACCAGGCAATAGAATTGTTTTTAAAAAGCTTGTCGGGCCGGGCACGGTGGCTCAAGCCTGTAATCCCAGCACTTTGGGAGGCCGAGGCGGGTGGATCACGAGGTCGAGAGATCGAGAGATCGAGACCATCCTGGTCAACATGGTGAAACCCCGTCTCTACTAAAAACACAAAAAAGTAGCTGGGCATGGTGGCGCGTGCCTGTAATCCCAGCTACTCGGGAGGCTGAGGCAGGAGAATTGCTTGAACCCAGGAGGCGGAGGTTGCGGTGAGCCGAGATTGTGCCATTGCACTCCAGCCTGGGTAACAAGAGCAAAACTCCGTCTCAAAAAAAAAAAAAAAAAAAAAGCTTGTCAGGTGATGATCACATGCAGTCAGAGATAAGAACCATTTATCTGTATTGTCTCTAAATGAAACCTCCTCATATTTTCCAGATAAATACACTGAAACCAGAGGAGATGCAGTGACTTACAGTTGATGATAACCCAATTTAGCTCTGTACAATTTTTTAAAACTAATCATACTCTTTAAAATATGATGGCTCAAAATAAATGGAGACAATTATAGGGGAAAAAAGACAGAAAGCTGAAGGGAAGATAATTTGGTCTTACTGTACTTACCATATAGTCTGCAATATCCTCTGGTGCATCACCATCAACATCAAACTTGAAGGTGACCATCTTATTGTTGTGTGTCTCCAGCTGACACTCCACCATGTTATCTCCAGAGGTTGACACCTGAGTACAAACGTACAAACATTTCACCGGTTTAAGAATTAATCACTGACTTCTCTTTGCAAATTGTGCAGGGAACATCTCTACTAGTTCACATACAATATAAGTGGAAAATGGCTTAAATAGTTCAGAATCTAAAAAGATTATGTCTTCCCTTGGTGGAATACCATCTGAACAGCCATTCTATGACTAACCTAACAGATTCAAGTTACTCAGTAAAAAATAAGTTATAAATGTGATCCTGTGATAAAGAAAACAATACAACTTTTGTAAGAAGGCAAAAAAAAGTTCTAATAGTCACTAGAGCTATCTGCAATGCAAAGATTTAAATTTAATCATTGATTTCCAAAATTCTCTTAATCTATAAATTGACTCTAAGCAAAGAAGAGGCACTGCAAATGGAAATGTAAACTGGCTCAATCTTTATGGACAGCAATCTAGCAACATGTATCTAGAAACTTTAAAAATCTTCATATTCTGATGCATGAATCCGACTTCTATGGATCTAACAAGGAAATAATCAGGGATAGATACAAAGATTTATGTTCAAGGATTTTGCTGCAAAGATAGACAGACAGACAAAAAGAATAGAAGACACCAAGTTAGAAAAAAGACAGACTGGGAAAAAGACAGAAAGAAAGAATGTAAACCAAGAACATAGGGAATGATTACATTATTTCTCTGTATAAGCAGCTATCTAATGTGGCCATTTAAAATGTCATGTTATTGAAAATGTTATGATACAGGAAAACATACATGATATATTAGGTTTTTGAAAATGCAGGATATAAAATTACATATAGGTTTAAGCAGCCAAATGAAACATACATCATATGGTTAGAGATATGGGCTTTAAAGTCTGATCTAGGTTCAGATCTGACTTTATCCCTTGCTACTTGAGTGATCTTAGCAAATTACTTCACTCCTCTGGTCTTTAGTATTCTCATTTGTAAAGATGAGTATATACTACCACTTATCATACAGGGTTATTGAAGGATTAAATGATAAAATGCATGGATTACATTTAGGGTGCCTACCACAAAAGAACTCAATAGATTTTTGCTGTGATTACTAGTACTATTACAAGCGTAATAATGTAAAACACTACATGTACATACAGAAAAAAGAAAGAAAAACAAACTAAAACATTAATAGGAGCTATCTCTGACTGGTGGTTACAAATGGATTTTGTTTTCTTTCTTGTATTTCCCAAGTTTAAGAAGGAACACATAATACTCATACTGGAAAGTCTGTAATGGAGAAAAGGTTAGTTTAGAGAGGGTTTCACAATATTCTACAACTCACTTCTGCAGCATTGCCCCTCTCTGACCCTCCAAACCTCTATATCTACTCTTAACAAAACCATATTGACAAACTGACCTGAAGGACAGTAAGCTGAAATTTAGTTCCCTTTTCTGGTCGGGGACAGGAAGCTCTTCTCTGTTTGATCCGATCCTGTTTGCCATTTCCACTTAGGTTATCAGGGCTACTGATGTTTTCCTTCGTAGCTGCCACATCTTGATTCAAGCTAGTAATATTTTTTTAAAAAAGTAACTCATTCCAGTCTTGACAGTAAAATTCTAAGAAAAACTCCCAATTATAAAACCATCAATAATGAGTTTAAGGAAAACCAATAAATACTACAATATCTTTTTAAAAGTTATGATTGCACAACTCTGTGAATATACTAAAAGCTATTAAATTATACACTTTAAATGGGTGAATTATATGGTGTGTGAATTACATTTCAATAAAGCTTTTTTAAAAAGCTATTATGAAAAATCAAGATCACATTGTATTTACTTAGCAAACATCTTGCAGTGATGAGAATGAAAGAAAAACACTGACAGTATTAGATCTCGGCTCACCGCAACCTCTGCCTCTTGGGTTCAGGTAATTCTCCTGCCTCAGCCTCCTGAGTAGCTGGGATTACGGGCACGTGCCATCTTGCCTAGCTGATTTTTTGTATTTTAAGTAGAGACAGGGTTTCACCATGTTGACCAGGATGGTCACGATCTCTTGACCTTGTGATCTACCCGCCTCGGGCTCCCAAAGTGCTGGGATTCCTCTGTGGAACCTTTTATTATGGGGTGCTCTTGATTGGTTTTATCTTGTTTGTTTAGGGGTTACTTTATTTTATTTTATTTTTTAGGGGTTACTTTATTAGTATCTTCAAATAAAACTTCTAAAACCAAAACAATTATCGCTCAAAATATACCTGTTTATGTAATGAACTCAACAGGGTAGAACAGGTATGGGAGACAAGAATAGTGTTCTGCAGGAGGCAGAACAAGAAATGAAAATGAATGATGTAAAAATAGCTCAACATGATTAATTCTAATTAGTTACATTTCACAGGTTCACATCAATATTATTATGAAAGGGCAGGCTACCTTTTAGTTTATCTGTGTCAAAGGCATTTTTCAGGTTTTTTTTTTTTATACTCAAACATACTTCAATAAATACAAAAATTTCAATAAACATGTTTGAAATTTAAATAACAAGATCTAAGTCTCGGACATCTTTTTGAAATAGATATCTTTCAAATTAATTTAAGCAAGTTATTACTCCTAAAAACTACTCATGAAACATCTTATATATGGATGTACAAGAAGAGATAAAAATCTCCTAAATTTTTTATGTCCATATGACAAAGAATTTACATAAATAGAAGTAGTGGAAGAAGATATATTAATACTGCCCTTAGAGTTTTTTAAATACACAGAGAAATAGCAGTAACAAATAATCCCTTCAGAAATATAATTTTAGCCAATGGGCTATATAATTCACATTCCAAAGTTACTTAACACACCAGTTTAGTGTTTGGGACAAGATGGCAGAAACTCAACTCTCCCTGCTCCTCTCCTCTAAATACAGCTAAAAGTTCTAGAAATAATATAGTAGACAACCACAGGAGCACACATAAGAATGAAAAGATGAAAGTGGACTGGCTAGGGACCCCCAGGACTTGAGTAACAACATAGCAGCTTGGTATCTTCCAATTACCACCCAGTGAATAAAGGCAGTACAGGCCCAGTGTCTCCCAAATCCCACTCCAGAGGCAAAGGCAGCCCAAGCCCAGTGTCTCCTGATCTCCAACCCAGCAAGAGAAGAGGACTTAAGTGAGCCCTGTCCTTCCCCAGTGGCACTGGTAGGGTCCCCACCAGTAAGTAGAGTATAACCCGTAGGGGAGGCCTGGGAAAGCAGGCCTAGGGAAGCACTCCGTACCCCTTGGCCTCGCAGTGGGGGCCAGGGGTTCCAGGTGAACAAAACAGATCAGAATAGCAGTGCTGTAAGGACTTTGAAAACTAAATTGTCATCAGAATCACAGCCCACCAAAGTAAGCCAGAACCTATGCACCTAAACAAGGGTGACTGCCTGCTAACACAGAAGATTTAAACAGGCCAGGTGGCTCATGCCTAATCCCAGCACTTTGGGAGGCTGAGGCGGGCAGATCACCTAAAGTCAGGAGTTTGAGACCAGCCTGGCCAACATGGCGAAACCCCATCTGTATTAAAATAAATTAGCTGGGCATGGTGGCACATGCCTGTAATTCCAGCTACTCGGGAGGCTGAGGCAGAATTGCTTGAACCTGGGAAGTGGAGACTGCAGTAAGCCAAGATTGCACCATTGCACTCCAGCCTAGGCAACAGAGTAAGACTCTGTCTCAAAAAAAAAAAAAAAAAAAGACTTAAATAGGATCTATAGGCACGTGACATAATATGCAAAAGCATAGGAGACAAATGAAAATAAACTCCTTTGTCATAACAAAAACTAGAAAAATTACAACTTGAATACGAAAAGGTAATCAACAGATGCCAACACCAAGATAAATCAGTCAATGAAATCATCTAAGAAGAATAAGATGAGGTCAGGTGCTGTGGCTCACGTCTATAATCCCAGCACTCTAGGAGGCTGAGGTGAGCAGATCATTTGAGCTCAAGAGTTTGAGACCAGCCTGGCCAACATGGTGAAACCCCGGCTCTACTAAAAATACAAAAATTAGCCAGGCCTTGTGGCAGGCGCCTGTAATGCCAGCTACTTGGGAGGCTGTGGCACAAGAATTACTGGAACCAGGGAGGTAGAGGTTGCAATGAGCCGAGATCGTGCCATTGCACTGCAGCCTGGGCAACAGAGTCAGACTCCATCTCAAAAAAAAAAAAAACAAAAACAAACAAACAAAAAAAAACCAAAAAACGAAAAAACAAAAAACATGAATCAGACATTAGAATTATCTAACAAGAATGTTAATTATTTATTTATTTAGACAGAGTCTCGCTTTGTTGCCCAGGATGGAGAGCAGTGGTGTGATGTCAGCTCACTGCAACCTCTGCCTCCCAGGTTCAAGCAATCTCCAGGTCCCAGCCTCCCAAGTAGCTGGAACTGCAGGCATGTGCCACCACACCAGCTAATTTTTGTATTTTTAGTAGAGACAGGTTTCGCCATGTTGACCAGGCTGGTCTCAAACTTCTGACCTCAAGTGATCCGCCTGCCTCAGCCTCCCAAAGTGCTAGGATTACAGGAGCAAGCCACTGTGCCCAGCCTTTAACAAGAACTTTAAAGCAGCTATCATCAAAATTCTTCAATGAGCAATCACAAATAATCTTAAGACAAATGAAAAAAACAAAATCTTATAAAAGAAATAGAAGATATTAAGAAGAACTACATGGAAAGTATAGAACTAAACAATTGCAGAAATTAAAAAAAAAAAAATCTCACTGAATAGGCCTAATAGTAGAATGAGTAAACGATCAATGAACTTGAAGAAAGAACAATAAAAACTATCCCATCTATATTTTTATACAGAAAAATACTAGTTTTTACCTACTAAATAATACAATTATATATATGGTTGCCATTTATTTCTTTAGATTAGCTAGAATTTTACCCTAAACTCTATTGTTTCTTACTTCCTTCCTTAACCCTTACCATCTTTTCCTAGAACAGAAAGGTATAAATAAACACAACAAAAAAATCATCAGTTAACTGCACAATCCATATGATCCCTACTGACATAAAAAAGTAAAAATGATATCATTTTTATTAAACACCCACACAAGTACAAGAACACAGAAGCTTCTCTAGTCAAGATACACGAAACACTTAATGAGTACACAAACTTCAGCATATCCTTATTGTTCTCATGGTATTAATTTGAAGATACTTACCTTCGAACTAAATCCGGTTTTAGAAGAGCTGCTTGTTGTTCAACTCCAGCTGGTTGGGATACAGGCTGTAAACAGTACAGACATAAAACTTGCTATGATAACAGTAAAATTCAAGCTAAATATACAATTTGCTACTATTTCAGGAAACATGATAGTTTTGGTTACCTTGCAAACCTGGTAGAATATCTATAATATTGAATGTCTGTATCAATCCTGTTATTAATATTATTACCAAAGAAAAATAAAATTTAACAATACCTCAAGAACATCTTACACATCAAGATTTTTCATCCTAAAAAGTCAGCACTGCTATATGTACTTTTGTTTGAGTTGTTTTTCAATGGAAGACACTACTATCAAGCTTCCAGTCCTAGTTGTCAAACTACTAATTAAATTAGAGTTACTACCATTCTACAAGAAGATAAATCAATGACTCAAACTTTTTTTTTTTTTTTTTTTTTTTTTTTTAGACGGAGTTTCGCTCTTGTTGCCCAGGCTGGAGTGCAATGGCGCGACCTCGGCTCACCGCAACCTCCGCCTCCTGGGTTCAGGCAATTCTCCTGCCTCAGCCTCCTGAGTAGCTGGGATTACAGGCACGTGCCACCATGCCCAGCTAATTTTTTTGTATTTTTAGTAGAGACGGGGTTTCACCATGTTGACCAGGATGGTCTCGATCTCTTGACCTCGTGATCCACCCGCCTCAGCCTCCCAAAGTGCTGGGATTACAGGCTGGAGCCACCGCGCCCGGCTAATGACTCAAACTTTAGTTTATCATGCGGTCTGTCTGTCTCTCATCTCTTTTCACTAGACTATTTCAACCATCCCTTCAAGGAATTAGTATTCAGCAGCTGTAACATTGGCTTCTAGGAGAAAAGTTTTTAAGCTCGTAATAGGACAAATACCAACTCCACTGGAAACTAATTTTACATTTACCTAATCCATCCTCTATGCACTGCCACTGGGATTATAGCAGAGTAATCTTAGAATGCAAATCTAACAAAACTGATCATTTCTTTACCCAGTTGAAACCCCACATGATGGCTCCTCGTCTTCTATAAGATTAAAGTCCTTCAGATGGTAAACAATGTTCTCAATTAACTGGTCTGTACCCGCTTATCTGGCCTCATCTCTCTGAAGCCACACTAAACTGTAGCTCCTCTGCATAAGTTATGCTCTTCTACATACCGTGACTCTACTTATATTCCTCCACTTCCCTGAACTATTTCAAACTATTTCATCCTAATCAACCCATACCGAGAAATGTTTTCCTGGACTAGCTTCTAATTATAGGTAAGATAATTAGCTCTTTAACATAATCACTGTTTAAACCATGAGAGCAAATACTACAGCAAATAGATTTTTGGACAATTAAGATTCAACAAAATGTATCTAATTTAACAAATTTGTGTATAGTCCCAGTAAGTTGGAGCAGTAACATGGCATCCTGATGCATAAATCCAGAGACAAGTGTATGTACTAAGCAAAGAGAAACAAAACATAGTTACTAAACAATATGGAATTATATTTTATAATCACTTGCAATTATTAATGAGGTTATTAATGCTACTTTGTGCTGGTGCTCAAAATCATGGCTAATGTTTGGTTTATCTGCCTTCATATCTGACAGCTATAAGTTAAGCTCTGTCATAATATTTCTAAGGGTTTCAAAATTAGTATTTATGAAGAGGTGCTGGGTCATTTTTGCAGATGTCTTTCAAATTTAATAAAATGTTTCATTTTTACTTTTGTTTGTTTTTTGGTTTGAGTTGGAGTCTTGCTTTGCCACCCAGGCGGGAGTGCAGTGGTGTGATCTCAGCTCACTGTAACTTCCGTCTCCTACATTCAAGCAACTCTGCCTGAGCCCCCGAGTAGCTGGGACTACAGGTGTGTGCCCCACACCCAGCTTTCTTTTTTTTCTTTTCTTTTTTTTTTTTTTTGGTATTTTTAGTCGAGACGGGGTTTCATCATGTTGACCACGCTGGTCTCAAACTCCTGACCTCAAGTGATTTACCTGTCTTGACCTCCCAAAATGTTGGGATTATAGGCGTGAGCCACCATGCATGGTCCATTTTTACTTTTGCCTAAGACTACAGTCAGCCCTTTGTATCTGTGCATTCTGCATCTATGGATTCAACCAACCTTGGATTGAAAATGTAATATTCTGGCTGGGCATGGTGGCTCAAACCTGTAACCTCAGTACTTTAGGAGGCCAAGGCAAGAGTACTCTTGAGCCCAGGAGTTTGAGGTTACAGTGACCTATGATTACACCACTGCAGTCCAGCCTGGGCAACAGAGCAAGACCCTGTCTTTAAAAAAAAAGAAAGAAAGAGAAAGAAAGAAAGAAAGAAAGAAAGGAAAAAGAGAAGAGAAAAAAAAAAGACAAGTATTGTCAGGACTCAGAACCCTTGGATATGGAGGGCTGAGTTCATGTGTGTGATTCTACAGGGCCAACTGTAGGGCTTAGCATCCTTGGATTTTGGTAACCAAGAGAAGTCTGGAACCAATCCCCTACAGATACCAAGCGACAATTGTACTATCATGTTGCATATTGATGTAATGGTGACTTACCTTAGGGTAGATTTGAGGCTTGATAAGTCTGTTTGTACAAAATTAATTTATTTTCTTATTACCAAAGCAAGATGAATAAAGATAAGCTTGTTTAACACCTTGGTGTATATTCTTTGAGACCATTTTCCGTACACACACACATCTTTAATGTAATCATAATGTATGTACTCTTTTATAACCTTTTTTTTTACTTAAAACATTACCTTAAGTGTCTAAGCACATGTTAAGGGCTACTTAATATCCTTTAATATATACATACCATTATTTATTTAATGGAGCAAGTAAGGGAGACAAACATCTAATTTTTTTGCTATTTGCAACTATATTTCATATTTTGAGGAATATTCTTGTAGCTAAATCTTTGCATGTACTCTTTTTTTTTTTTTTTTTTTTTTGGAGACGGAGTTTCACTCTTGTTACCCAGGCTGGAGTGCAATGGCGCAATCTCGGTTCACCGCAACCTCCGCCTCCTGGGTTCAGGCGATTCTCCTGCCTCAGCCTCCTGTGTGGCTGGAATTACAGGCACGCGCCACCATGCCCAGCTAATTTTTTTGTATTTTTAGTAGAGACGGGGTTTCACCATGTTGACCAGGATGGTCTCGATCTCTTGACCTCGTGATCCACCCGCCTCGGCCTCCCAAAGTGCTGGGATTACAGGCTTGAGCCACCGTGCCCGGCCTGCATGTATTCTTAATTATTTCCTTAGGAAACCTTTCTAAAAATGGAATTGCTTGATATATATTGCCAAATTGCCCTTCAGAAAGGTCTAACCAGTTTACAGTCCTACCAGAGGTTTGTGAAAGTATCCATTTTCCTTTACATTTGGCATTTGCTATCCTACAAAAATGTTTAATTATTAAATGTATATAATAACATTATAAAAAGTAGAAAAATGGGAAAAATCACCTAGAATGCTATTTCCCTAACATGGCTATGATTATAATATTTGTTATAATAGTATAGGCTTCTGTCATATATATAAATAGTTGTAATTATACAGTTTTTTTCCTGCTTTTTAAAATGTATTAAGTATTTTTCCTTACCTTTATTGGCCTGCATTATTTTAGTTTTTAATGGGCACGCGATAGTATAGTAAGTATTCATATTTATCTAACTCCTCCCCTATTCCTGGATAACTTACTGCCAATTTTTATTACATATAAATAAAAATACAGTAAAAATACAGAGACAGCTACCATAGCCAACATTCACTATGAAACAAGCTGTGTACTATGTGCTTTTTCCTTCCTTTTTATTATTTTCTTCAGATTAATATCCAGGATTGGTAATATCAGACCATGAACATTTTTATGGCACAATTTTTCTTCCTATGTCACCCTTTCCTTTCTTATTTCTTTCTAGCTTCACACATTTATTGGAATCCTAGTGTGTAGCAGGCACTGTGCTAAGAGGCAGTGAGAATACAAAATGAATTTGATGCAGACCTTGGAGTCAGACATTAAATATATATGATAAAGAGTGGGCTGCACGCAGTGGCTCATGCCTATAATCCCAGCACTTTGGGAGGCTGAGGTGAGTGGATCACCTAAGGTCAGGAGTTCGAGCCCAGCCTGACCAATATGGTGAAACCCCGTCTCTACTAAAAAGACAAAAATTAGGCAGGGCGTGGTAGCTCACACCTGTAATCCCAGCACTTTGGGAGGCCGAGGTGGGCGGATCACGAGGTAAAGAAATCGAGACCATCCTGGCCAACATGGTGAAACCCCCCTCTCTACTAAAAATACAAAAAGTAGCTGGGCGTGGTGGCATGTGCCTGTGGTCCCAGCTACTCGGGAGGCTGAGGTGGAGGAATCTCTTGAACCCAGGAGGTGGAGGTTGCAGTGAGCCGAGATTGCGCCACTGCACTCTACCGGCCTGGCGACAGAGCAAGACTCCGTCTCAAAAAAAAAAAAAAAAAAAAAAAAAAAATCATGGTGGCGTGCACCTGTAGTCTCAGCTACTCAGGAGGCTGAGGCAGGAGAATTGCTTGAATCGGGGAGGCGGAGGTTCCAGTGAGCCAAGACAGTGCTGCTGCACTCCAGCCTGGGTGACAAGAGCAAAACTGTCTCAAAAAAAAAAGAAGAAGAAGAAAAAGTAGATAGAGCTACTTCTGCTAGGGAAGGAATGGGGAATCAATCTTGGTTATATTCTTGGGGCTCCCCTAACTGGTTCTGGGGTCTTATGCAATGCCAAACCTTGGGAAGGTGTTGAAGAGGATCTTTCTCCTTTACTTGCTCCACCACTCCTCTCCTCCTCCCATCAGTAGTTCTCAGCCCTGGCTGCACTTTATAATACCCGGGGAAGGAGAGAAGAACAGAAGGGGAGATGGGAAGAACAAAGAGATAAAAAGCTAAGCCCATGTACAACATCCTAGAGATTCTGAAGCAGTCATTACGGAGCGAAGGAGACCAGTAAAACTGAGATGTCCTTTTAAACATTTCATACATTGCTTTATCATGTTATTGATGTTACAAAGCATATCTTTCCCCTGAAGTAC